TCTCCATAAAGAGGACCTGTCAGTGTGCCTTTGCTATTATATAGGGGGTTGTTATCCCCCTATATAATAGCAATAACAATAAGTGCAAAAAAAAAAATATAAATAAAAAAAAAGAAAAGTAACACATAAAAAAATAAAATAAAATAAAAGCCACATATAAAAAAAGGGGAAAAAACCCCCCCAAAATGTTTAACTCCCCCACCCCCACGTTTACGCGCCTATAAACGTAAATACGCGTCCGGTGCCCCAGCGCGCAAAAATTACAATTGCGCTACACATGTTACATATCGCCGCGAACGTCGCAGTGAGAGCAATCATTTTAGGGCCATCAATCACTGATAACACTAAACTGATGAGCGGTAACAGCTTTTAAAGCGTCGCCTATGGCCAATTTTGGGTATTATCGTTTTTTGAGGTTTCGCGCGCGCACGCAATTTTAAGGCTTGACATGTTTAGTGTCTTTTTACCCGACGTGACCCCATCTTTTATATTTTACCAAAAAATTGGGTAATAATAAATGTTTTATCATTTAATATAGGGGAAACTGTTTTTTTTTTTAAATTTCGGTAATTTTTCCTTAATATAGTAAAAAAATAAAACCCCCAGTGGTGAATAAATACCACCAAAAGAAAGCTCTATCTGTCCCCAAAAAAGGGTATAAAATTCATTTCAGTACAGCGCTGCATGACGGAATAAATGTCAGTCAAAGTACCGCAGCGCTGAATACTGAAAAATGGCCTGGATGGGAAGGGGGTTTAACACCGCGGATGTCAACTGGTTAAAGGAGAACTATGAGGTGACTGATTTTCACTTAATAAAAGTCTTGCGATGGTTGTAAGGTGTATGGGCACCTTAAGGAGGATATTGGTCATGGAGCCCTGTGATTTCTAGATACGCCCAGTGGCGTAACAATCACCATAGCGACCCAGGCGGCCGCTATGGGGCCCGAGGCACGGCGGGGCCCGGCCAAGACATCTCCCTGATGCCATGCGGGCCGCCTGGGAGCTTTCACTTTTGATCAAAAACAATACACTTGGTTGCGCCTTCCACAAGGTCTGTCAATATCACCAAGTTGTTTCAATCAAACATTAAAACAAATACTGGATCAGTGGCGAGCTCCATCAGGGGTCACACTGCTTCAGTATATAGATGTATATATGCCTTAGTGCACCTTCCAAAGAGATCTGTCAAACTGCATCCTTGGATTTGCTTACATTTTTAGCAGGACAAAATTGTAAAGTGGCGCAAGATAAATTACAGTGGTGTCAGGAAAAGGACAGGGCCCTCCTTACCATCTTGTCTTGAATTGTATTGTGATTGTAATGTCTGCCCTATATTATAAAGCGCTGCGCAAATCCTGTATAATAATAATAATAACTTTCCTTGGGCACTGTATTTTTAAAGGGGGGTAAACATCTTACCTCAGAGAGGAAAAGATTGACTCAGGCATACCCAACTCCAAAAAAATCTAAGAAGCCCGAGAGCATTTTTGGGTCTTGTGGGTTATAGTAGACAATGGCTCCCTAACATGTCACACATTACTAAACCTTTGTATGCATTGACATCAAGCAAGGTTGTACATTTTGAACTTACTGCTGAAGAGAGGCAGGCAGTAGAGGCTCTGAAAGAAGCCATAATGGTAGCCCCAGCGTTGGCTCTGCCCAATTATGGTAAATCATTTTTATCTTTTTTGCCATGAAGATAATAATCAGGCATCTGGTGTTTTAACTCAAAATGTGCAGATCAGTACAAACCGGTGGGCTATTATTCACAGCTTCTGGATCCTGTCCTCTCAACAGCAGCTCCAGGTGTAAAGGCAACGGCAGCTATTCTGGTTGAGAAGACAGCAGACATAGTATTGGGCAATAGTTTCATTTTGATGGTCCCACATGCTGTAGAGAACAAGTGCTTGAGCATATTAACACCAGGCACCTTTCTGCGGCTAGGTTGCCAAAATATGAACTGGCTTTGCTCACACCCAGTAACATTGTTATAAAGAGGTGTAATATTTTAAACCCAGCTACATTGCTGCCAACTATGTCTTCTCTTCCAGAACAATGGGAACATGACTGTAGCTTACACACCCCCCATTTACCTGACCTCCCTACACACAAACTGCACACCCCACTTTTACCACACCCCCACTACAAAAATCCCCTCACTGCACACCCCACATTTACCTCACCCCCCACATTCACTTCCAACCAACCACACTGCACCACCCACATTTACCTACACTCCATTACTCCACAAAGCAGATTTTCTTTACCCCCCAAATTAACCTCAATGCATACCCTAGATTTACCTCACTGCACAACCCACATTTACCTCATCCTCCATTACTCCACATTGCAGATTTTCTTACCCCTCCCCCCCCATTGCCTGCACACCCCACAATAACCTTAAGGCATACCCTAGATTGACTTACCTCCCTGCACATTGCAGATATAAACACCACCCCAATATTCCTTACCAACCCCGATACCCCCACACACACACCAGATTTCTAAAAATCACTCTCT